TCCCTGACGCTTCCCCCCCCCCCCGCCCCGAGAATTTAACACTTCCATCGCAAGGTTTTTACAGGAGAATGGGACACATGCTGGAAAACTCACCACGCTTCATAAAAATCACAGGGGTAACAGTTTCCATCACCGTTGCGGTATGAAAGGTACTCTTTGGATTGTCTGCTGGTGGCTAAGATGGATCAGTCTTTCTCTGTTTCTGTTAGCGATGTGCTGAAGGATCCGGATTTACTGAAATACTGACGCCCATAAACTTACTCCCTCTCTGTTGAAGGCATTGGATGTGACACTGCAGAGAAACATGTGTTTCACATTTCTGACTGGTTGTTTTGGTGCAATCAATACCCCCACCAGAAACATTGACTTAGGTGGCGATTACCATACCGGGAGGCACACGGAGCGCCTCTTTCGGGTTGCATGCCAAGTGAGCACAAATCAAAGAGTCCGCCGTTCCTGTGAAGTGGGGGCGTCAGTTCCCCCCAAACTCCGGGGCAAAGGCAGCGGGCGGTGTTCCCAGCCCACCAAAGAGAGCCCGGACTCGGGGTGCGGAATGAGCAATGACCAAAGCGCTGTCAGGAGTGGCAGGCAGTCGGATCGGATGGGGATCAGTGAGGCAATAACGGTTGAAAGAAAGGTGGATCGCGAAATTATTGCCCGAAGGAGTAGCAGGCGAGGCGGAATGATGATAAAGTTAAACTTCTGTTTCATCTTCTGTCGGGGATGGTGGGCGTTTCTGTTGCTTCAGCTCCACATGTTGCAAGCACTGGCACAAGGTAGGGCTAGAGACATTTTTGTTTATAGAAATGCTGCATCTGCCTTCTAAGAGGAAGGGAATCTCGCTCGGGTACAGAGAAACCCTCTTACTTTATCCTTATCAGAGGTAAACTGCAGAATTCGCACTGAGCTGATTTCATGTGGGAATGGTCGTTTCTTATACACAATCGTTTCTTTATGGAACAGGGATTTGCAAACTGTACCTACATGTTTCTTTCCCTTTCTCGTCCAATCCTTCCCCTATCCCCACCTCCCAGAGAGAATCGATAGCCCTATCGGGAACAAACCTGCTTTTTTTATTTACTTAAATACGTCCGTACATTTCTGTTCTTTTAGGCAGCAAAAGAGTTAACGGCTGGTTGTATGTGTGTGTTTAAAACCACTGTGCACCGAGATAAGTTATTAGGAGAAGGGGAGTCATAAATCCGCCGACTAGAACTAAATCAGGCATGTAAAAGGAATTCTTTGGACATATGAGCACTATTCTATGTGAACCTCGGTTCGAGCATTGTTCATTTCTTTTGGATTGCCAAGTAACATTTACCCGAGACAAAAACTGCAATTGATTCGTATCTGAGCATTTCCACATCAGAGATCCTTGCAAACGAGTCACTCGTAAAGGAAGGGTCAGAGTCGACCAATAGACTTTAAATATCAAGTGTCAGTCACTTTGCATGTAAATTCCCTTCTCAAAAAATTGCCGAATGTAGCCTAATTCTTAATAATCCTTTGACAGAGCAACAATAAATGGCAGGCAGAAGCATTACAGTTGGCTGCGCCAAATAACATGCTGAACAAACGCAGCTTTCACTTTCTTTGCTGGGTTGAGTTTTATTGCTGTGTGCATTGTCTGACTGAAGTGGTATGTGTTGGACAATGCAGAACTGTATCGTGTGGGACGATGAGTTAGTTATTAAAAGCGGAAGTTAATACTCTATGAAGGGGAACGGTCTTTGTGTTTTAGTTCTTTGTTTTCAAGTATTTCATAGGGAACAACGGTGCATTCAGTTTTAATAACTGGATGGGCTTGTGTGTTGAGGAAGAGGGGGTTATAAGCCAAGTCTGCTCTAGTTTGTCTGCTCAGGGTTTACTACTGCATCCTCGGAAAGTTTGGAGCCGCAGGATACAAAAGAGTTTTAATCCAGTGTTTAATAATGGGCTCCACCCTCATAAACCTTTTTCAGTGCTTTGTTTATGCTGTCATTGCTATTCCCAAACTACTTATGCTGAGGCCTGCAAGCCCTAACAGGGTATTGTTATTCTGAGACAAGACATACCTGAAATAATTCTCTCTGCAAATTAAAAGTCACATTACTTTTTTGTTTCTTTTGGTAGTTGTTGTTGATAGATGCCAACATGATGCTTCATTTTGGAAGACAAATGCTGATGATTCTTGCTGTTTACACTAAAAATGCAAAAATTTTTCATATAAGGCAGTTTTAAGTGCCAGCGATTCAGGAATCAATTTAGATGCCATGTAATACAGTTTTTGGTGGTTTAGTAGTAAACTAGCCATCTTATTGGATTAAAAAGTGAACTCAAACTTCTGTTTAGCACATAGTATAGAAATTTTTTTCGACAGCGTATTTCAGATTCCTAAGCATTTGCAGTAGTATCAGTTTTAGGTTTATATATCTCAGGGACTTACATAGTGTTTACTAACTATCCTAAAGAAAAGTCCTAACACCAAGTTAGTTTTACGCATCAGTATTTAAGAGGGGGAGGGGAAGCAAAGAGAATAAGACACATTATTTCTGAGAAATATTGGTGCAGATAAAGGCATGGAGTTTAGAAGACATTCAACAATGAAAGATAAAACAATTACATAATGCAGAAACAACATACGTTTTTATTTTTATATAATGCAGAAAACGCAAATTACAGTTAGTCCTCTAAAAATTCTTTGACACGTAAACCAGCATGGAGGTCTTAGTGCAGAGTGCTTCTATTAGGTTTTCATGAAATTTGTGTTCATTTATAACTTATGGTTCTTTTTGCACTCTGAATTCTAATGCATTCTAATGCATTCATCATATTTATGCAAAAATTTACTTTAGAGAGAAGATGACAATTTTTATAGAAGTCCTTCATGAAAATGGAAAAGCTGCAACAGCCACAGAAAGTTTTTAATGGAATGATGTGGTCATATGCATGAGAGAATTACATGACTCCAATCTTTTTATGTGATAAAAAAATGAACTTTCTAAATATATGGGCCATGGCTATTTTGAATGAGTCATAATACTATGCTATAACCAGCTAATGTTTCTATAATAACTATTTCAGCATTAAAGAAATAAGAAATATTTCAGGCATACTGAAATGCAGGTTCTTAGTTCATAGGAAACAGATTATATAAAAGTCATTGAGATTAAGTATCTTATACTGCAAGGTGAATGGAAGAAAAGGTTTTCAACTGCAACAGGTTGTTGAGTATTCTCTAGACTTGAATGATCATCCATGTAAAAGCAGATCTAGAGGCGAACTGTAGATAAAACCACTTGTAAATTCATTTTGTACTTCGCTCTTCAGCTTTTCTGTCTCCTGGTAGTTGTGTTACATAATTAGATATAACGATTTATTTGCTTTCTTTTTCCTTTTCAAAGTGAATTTAATTATTGCGAAACATACAGTGGTTTATTGTACTGAATAATGCAGCATTCTCTTTGAGCCTTAGTATTGTTAATGCAGACCTTCTCATTACGGGAGTGATTTCCTGGGTGGAAGAAATGTACAGCTGACGAAGGTTGTGGCCTGTCCCATGAACACAGCCTGGAGGGGTACTCCCACTTCTGTAATGGCTGCGATCTGCACAGACGCCCATTCAGACCGTGTGTGTGTGCGCGTGTGTGTGTCTCACCCGGTTTACCACACTGGCCCATCTGTGAATGGGAAGCTTGTCAGAAAAATTAACCTGTAAGAGTCTGAAAACTGTTGCACATTTCTTTGTTTACTCAGTTCTTCATGCCTGCTAGCCTCTGCCATGATGCCTCTTTTCATGGCATTTTTGTTAAATTTGAGCATTAGGTGCTACTTAGCCTCAAGTCACTGTGTGTCATCAAATAGTAATGAGATGCTAATTGATAATCAGTATAATTATCAAATTAGAATTTTCAAGGTGATGGTAGAAGTGAATCATTTCGACACAGTAACTAACTACTGTACTTAGAAGAACATTATCCTGCAGTGACCTCTATCTAGCTCAGTGGTCTAGCGTGCCTGGGCATAGTCCTGTTGAATACATAGAGCTCGTTGCAGGATTGGAATTTATTAGTTATGTATGAGATTAACAAACACTGATGCCTACCGAGATACAAAATGTTTACTAAAATACTAGAATATTTGTATGGAAACAGAAAAATTCTGCTTATTTAAATAGGTTGGAAGTTGCTAGGGGCTACTCTACATGCATCTCAATGGCTTTAAGCACTTTCCCAATGTCTTACTTTTGTTGAAGAGTGAAAGAATACTTAGAAAATATACTTCTTTGCATTGATGGCTGTTGTTCAGAATGATTTTAAAATAGGTAAAAGCAGTGCAAAGCTTTAAGCTTCTCCAGCAGGAGATGGGTATCTTTAAATATTAAGAAAGAGAAGCTTGTCTGATTTTTCTTAGTTTTCCAGCAATGGAGTGTAATCTTTTTATGCTACTTGATCAAATCCGTAATTCAGAATTCTACATGTACCTGAATGTGCATTTGAGATGATATTGATATCTATTATGCTTTGACAGAAGTCATGAGATGGAAGATAGCAGAAAATGTTTCTGGGGCCCAACTTTTTTAATTCAAATATTTGATCTGGTGTAACTTATAAATATGCTAAGTGTAGGACGTGTTTTTGAGCAAATTTCAAACTGCATTAGATGCAGAGATGATAAGCAACTTGCATAGAGTATGTAGTTGTTGGAGGGACAGAGAGATGGTTAAATGTAAGGGCAATACTTATTGGAGAGTGAAAAGCATTCTGAATTAAATGTTGAATGATACATTTCTAATTCCAAAAGATTCCGTTACTGTTCATTGGAAACTCATTAATTTGTATTGTGTTCACTTTCTTTAGATGAACATTTTAAGTATGTGCTAAACAGGTGAATTCTTTGTGTATATAATTATAATAATTAAAAAATTGATTTGGAGGAGTAGATACAAGCCTAGTCTAAATAGAAATGGGGTGGAGAGAGAGAGCTTTTTTCTGTGACCATATCTGACCATATCATGCAACTTCTAACTCTCTCTACTGTGGTAAATCTGTGTTTGGTTTATATGCTTACCTTTAGCTGAAAAATGTCTTATTCTCAAGACTTCTCAAAGCAAGTTCAAAGAGATAGGTATACATACCTATTAAGATTTTAAGTACAGTGTTTCAGATAGTTTCTTGAGAGTGCAGTGTAACAGTACTATTAGAGGTGAAGGAAGACCACATGTAATAGGTGTTTCTCAGTGTTGTTTTCATGCATTACCAGAAGATGCTTAGACCAAGAATGACCTAGGTACGGAGAGAGAGGTTGTGGTGGTTCAGTCTCAGAGCCATGCTGTGTGACTTACACATCACTTAAGAAGAACGGAAGGGAATCTGTGTCCATGGCTCATAGTCCTTGAAAGGTTGTTCTGGAAGGTTCTGTCATCTCTGTGCATAGTCATATATTTTGAATAACAAAGACAATTATTGGCTAATATTTTAAAGATTGTCTCACTGACTAAACAAACCGTAGAAATTTTAATAAACAATCTTAGAGTGAATTATTAGGAAGCTGTTAAGTGAAGGTCTTGGGCTTTTGTATGTCTCAGAGGGATTTTTTTTGTTGTTGTTTTAATGTTCTTACCAGCACATATGTAGAAGTCTTGAATGCACTCTTGATTCAAATAAAAGATTTTAATGCATTTAGCAACTTTGTATACAGCTTTACCTGAACATCACATTCTGAATTGACTAGGTGTTTGGTTCACTTGGACCTTTTTGCTGTAATGAGTCTGTGGGCAGACTAGAGGCAATTAGGT